GGAGAGCCTCCAGCCACACCAACCCACAAAACTTCGTACCTCGGGGGTCGGAGCCTCGGGATCTGCCTTCACCTGAGCTCGTTTCTTGCGGGATGTCTGCCCTGCGTGATGAGACGTGCCCGGCTTAGGTGGGGAGAGGAGATGAGGCAGCCAGCGCCCGCGCCTCGGGGGACAGGCTGCGGCACCGTGACCTTCCAGGGATGGGGCGCTGGGTGATGCGTGAGCCGAGCACCGAGGAACTGGCACTGGGGTGGGCTCCTCTCCCCCACAGCCAGATTCCTGTGAAACCACTGCTCAATTCAGGCTCGCGGCCCCGGGGCGAGCGCACCCTCCAGCTCCCAGCCTGGCAAGGGAGGGGACAGAGGTGCGGGCCTGGAAAGCCACCCTGCGGGTGCAGCGGCTGTGCCCAGGCACGCTGAGCTGGTAGGAGGCCGTGGGGACAACAGGCTCCGTCCTCCAGTGCCCAGCCATCCCAGGCCCATCAGCACCCCAGGGAGGGGCTTGGCTCCTGGTTTTGCCCCCACGCTGCACAGCAAGCTGGGGGCTTCCCAGTCTCCAGCCCTCCTGGAGCAAGAGTGGGTCCCATGGGGAGGAGGGAGGACACTCACCTTTGGGAGCCATGGGGCCAGGCTCTCCCTGCAAGGAAGGCGACAAGAGCGTTGACTGGGGCACAGTCATTCTGCAGGTGGTGGCAGCAGAATCCGTGCCCCTTCTCTACCCCGGAGCCACGAGAGCAATAGGGAAACAGCCACGTTTCCCCAGGAAGCCGGGGGAGTTGGATTCGCTCTGCCTGCCCTGGGCCTCAGGGACTCTCCTGTCAGCCCCTGCTCCTTCCGCAAGGCCCCCCGTGGCGCCTCACCCAGACACAGGGCATAGGAGGGAGGAACAGGGCTGCCAGACCACCCGAGCCCCCCGTTCCCATGGTCAGCCCCTCTGCTCCACACCAACGGCCTTCCCCTGGCCAGCTGGCTGCCGCGCGGAGGGTTGCTGTCGCCTCCACATCCAGCGGTCACAGCAGTCTGTTGGAGGGAGACCCCCTGGTGACACAGGGGGGTCTTGGGAAGCAGAAAATGGGCTGGTGTCCCCTCGGAGTGGTCAGGTGCACCCGGCCCCAGGCAGCAACCCCAAATTCCTACCTGGAACCATATGGTCCTGCCATTGCGGTCGCGCAGGGAGCTCATGCCGGGCACCAGGTAACACTGCAGCCAGTTCTTGAAAGCGGCGTAGTTATCCGAGTGATCCGGGTCAAAGAGGTTTTTGTCTGGGAAGGGAGAGAGGGAAAAGACAGAAGTGGGGAGGAAGCAGTGACCATGGTGTCGGGGTGCCCTCCCGAGGCTCCTGCTGCTGGGAACGCAAAGCCCAGGCCTCTGCACCAGCCCCAGCTGTCCCTGTCCCCTGGCTCCCTGCCCTGCGGCCTCACCCGCCGCGAGGACCTCCATCGGCACGGTGTGGCACAGCTCCAGGAGGTCTGGGTTCTCCCGCATCAGCTTCAGCTTCCTGCTCAGTGTCAGGGAAGGATTCTGCAGGGATGCAGAAGGGGAGGGATGTCACCTGC